GGGGGGGGGGGCACTAGAAATAGTACGGGTTCCCGCGATGGCGAGAAGGGGTGGGGTTCGGATCACAGTGGGCAGGAGCAGGAGGAAGGCACCTCCTCTAGAGCAAAGGGAGGGGGCGGGCGGGTGCAGAGACAGGTGGGTGTGCAGACTTGGGGGTGAGGAGCTGGGGGGGCGGCAATGATGCAGTGAAGGAGCAGGTGCAACCAATGCGGCCGAGGGGGCAAGCTGCAAGGACAGGGCACCTGCGGGGCACACGTGCAAGAGCTGGACTCCGTATCTGGGGCGATGGCCAGGTCCATGGCAGCATCTGGGAGAGGGACGTAGAGGTGGAACAGAAGAAAAGGTCCTTGGGAATGAGGAAGTTCAAGAACCAACAAGCCAAGGGCTGTCCGTTATAAGTCCCAATAAGCCACCAGTCATCCAATAGCTACTGAAGTCTCCTAGAGTGGGGACCTGCTTCCATGAATGAAGGGATCATCCAGGAGAGGTGGGTGGAAAGGAAGGGGGCAAGACTGAGTGGATGGAGGAGTCGTAGAGAAATCCAGAAGCTTCCACTGGACAACACCCTCTGGCGAGAAGGGGGATGGGCCAGGATGGAGCGGGGAGAGGAAGCGGAGGCGAGGAGACCGTGCACAGAGCAAGCACTGCAGACATCAGACACCAGCCTGCAGAGGTGGCTGGACGCGCCGGACAGGTGCCATGCCCATCAGCATGAGACCGGCAGGCTCTCCCCACCTCCACTTCAGTGCCATTGGATTTTGAGCGGGTTTTGAGACCGACCATGGCTTACTCTGCCCACCCTAGTGCATCTGTCTCCAAGTTGCTCCTGGGCAGCTACTCCTGTCCTGCACAGTCCCTGCCTGGAGGGGTGCTCCTTATGCCCCTCTCTCCCTGCTCCTCCTCCTGTCTCCCTGAGCCCTTAAGCTCCCAGCCAGGACAAGAGGCTCTTGGCTCCTGGACATTCCAGCTTTTCCAACTGGTCCAATATGGGTGTCTGAGCACTGGAAAGGGGCTCACTACTCCTGTCCTGCCTCCTTGACTGTCCTGGCCCAGGCAGAGCTGGCTCCCAGACCCACAGGTCAAGGCCCTCCCCTCCTCAGTCGCTTGCAGTGCCTCATTCAAGGCCACACAGACAGTGCCGGGTGAATGCTCGCTGTCCCTTCAACCCCACAGGCAGCCCCGGGATGCTGAGATGTGCTGGGATGCGGCTCCCTGACCAGCCATCACTCTCCTCTGCTACCCCCGCTCCAGCCCATCACACGCAGACTTTCCAACCCTCAAGTCTGCCGACCTCAGCCCCAGCCTGGCACCTCTGCGTGCAGCAGTGTGGCCGTGGGGAGAAGGGGCAAATACACGCTGTGAGGTTTCTGCTGCATGCAAAAGGACTGGAATCTTCTCTGAACCAAACTCAAGCTCCACATCCTTTCCCCTCCTCCCACCCCCCTTCTCTGCCCACTCTCCTGCAAGCTTCCTTCTGCTGAGCGTTGGGGGGGGGGGGGGGGTTCTGGTTTATGAGTTCCCCTCCCTGTCCTCCCCCCTCCCACACGCAATTTCTGCCTTTCTTCCCTTCGCCTGTGTTCGAGGGCCTCCGGATCCCCGGCGGGCAGGGGCTGGGGGGCCTCTGAGCGCCTCAGGAGAACCCTAATCACACTGGAGCAGCTGGCGCTTGATTCCATCCTCAGTGATGCCTTCTGACATTTAATGAGTTAAGGAGCTAAATCCCCTTCATCCCAGAGCGGCTGAGCTAGCTGCAATGCTGGCTGCCATGGGAGCAGCGAGCGGGGGAGGGGCCGGGGCCCGTGCGAGCCAAGCCTGGATCTACACAGCAGGATGCTTGCGTGTGCAGATCTGCATGTGCGCAAATGCAGGTACAGACACAGGGGCTGTGAGCACACGTTAGTGCGCACGGGGACACGACCCACCAGGGGCCAGCCAGGCTGGGAGCGGCCACCTACCTCCTCCACATGGCCAGCACGCTCATCACAGAGCCCACGACGAGGAGGGCTGAGACGGTCACCACCGTGACGACGACCGCAGGGCTGTGGTCCCTGGACCCTGAGGCAGCTGGGGGTAAACCGCGAGGCTGAGGCAGGCAGAGGACCAGGCTCCTGGGGAGGCCCCAGTGCAGACGCCTGCCCACCCCCCACGGCACCTCTGCACTTGGCCCCGGCTCCCACAGCAGAGGGACCAAGGCAGCCCCACCAACCACACTGGCACCTGGAGCTTCCTCCTCTCTCAGGGCAGTCCAGTTCGGAGAGAGAGGACCAGGGGTCCAGAGAGGCAGGGCTGCACCTCTCCTTCTGCCTTTCCGATGGGCACTGACTTAACATAGCTCTGCAGGGGGCACGGCCTCTCACCTGAGCTCCCCAGCCCCATCCAGGCCATCCACCGACAATTACAACGTGAGTTAACGTTTAATACACACTTACTCCATTCAGGGCACCGTGTCACGTGCCTTAACTAAATGGTCCTGCTTCATTGTCACAACAAGCAGGAAAGGCGGTGGTGTCTCCATTTTATAGCTGAGGAAACTGACATTGAGAGAAGTTGTGTGATAGGCCCAAGGTTCCACGACTAATACATGGTGAGCTGGAGGTCTGAACCTGATTCCAAAAGCCTCCACTTTGAACTATGCCCCCAAGAGAGTGGCCTAAAGGACCCCAGGCTCTCAACTCCATCTATCCATCCATCCAACATGTGTGACAGGCTGGTGCCAGTACTGGGGAGACAGTGATGAATGAGGCAGAATCCCTGCCCTGGAGGAGTGTCCGGACCAGTGGGAGAGACAGAAACAAAAATCCTAACTGCAGACAACAGAAACAGACTGCTGAGCAGAGGCATGCTCATTTCTTCCTAAAAGCCAGCGAGGAAGGCTTCGCAGAAGAGACGTGACATCTGCTCTGGGCCTGGGAGATCGGAAAAGGTCTGGGTGGTGCTCGGACGCACATGCTGGGTCTGGGAAACGGCAAGCCATCCTGTGGGGCTGGGATACAGACCACAGAAGGCTGAGAGCGCCAAGACGTGAAGCTGGACAGCGGGAGGAAAATGGGAACTGGGGGAGGAGAGGGCGCCCGGAGGGCCTGGGATGCCTGGCCAAGAAGTGGGAACTTCATCCTGAGGGTGACAGGGAGCCAGGGAGCAATGGACAGGGTTCCTGCCTGAGGGGGAAGGGCTGGAAGTATCTGGATGGACAGGAGGTGCGCAAGAGAGGTGCAGGTTTGGGGAAACTATCGAGAATGGGGGAGATGCGATGCAGCCCTGAAGACTCCACTGAGATGAGATGAGACGTGGGACACAGGACTTGCGCTGGCTCTGGGCTCCGGGAGGAGGAACACAAGTGCAGCACAGCGTCCGGGCAGTGAGGGCCAGCACAGCTGGGGAGCGTTTCCCCAGGGAGGATCTGTAGCGCCTGGGGTGACATGGGGCCAGAAGGGGGGTGACAGCCTGGGATATGAGGTCGGAGCCCCAGGGCTGTCGGGAAGATGTCACAGTCAAGTGACAAGGGACAGAAAAGGGAGGGAGAGTTAGGGGCCAACAAGGCCATGGTCAAAGGGGGGATTTTAGAGCCCATGTTCCCAGAGGTGGGGACATGGCCTGGGGTCTGGTCAGGCCAGAGGTGGGCGGAGTTGCCAAGAACTATGTGGAATGAGGTATCCGTGTGGACATGGAAATGGAGACAGGGCAGTTGTGGAAGGTGGCCTCTGAGATGTCCCCGCTGGATTCTCTACCTCCTGGTATTATTTAGTCCCCTTGAGTATGGGTTTGACATAGTGACTTGTTTCTAACAAACAATGCAGCCAAAGTGATGGGATGTCACCTCCAAGATGAGGTGACAAGAGACTGCAGCTTGTCTCGGGCACCCTCTCTCTCTGTCACTGTCTCAGGAAGAATCTAGATGCTGTGTTATGCAGAGCCCTAGGGAGAAGCCCAAGAGGCAGAGAACCACGTGCCCCCAGTGAACAGCCAGTGAGAACCTGAGTTGGGAGGCAGATTCTCTCCCCATTAGGCCTTGAGACGACCGCAGCCACGAGGGACCCTGAGCCAGTGGCACCTAGCTAAGCCGCACCCAGATGCCTGGCCCACAAAAACCACGAGAGAATAAATGTCTGCCGTTAGCGGCTACTCGCTTGGGGGTAATTTGTCCCGCGGCAATGGATAACTGATACAGTGCTGAAGCACCGTCCCTCATTGTGCTCCTGAGCTGGGATCACAGCTCACTGGAAGAAGTGCTCTGCAGACTGGGAGGCCCATTCCTGCAGAACCAGGACCACAGCAAAGGAGGCTGGGGGTCCGAGCAGGGTCTACTCACTGAGAAGCACCAAATGAATGGAAACCCTCAGCCCTTTCCAGCGACCAGCCAGCCCCCAGCTCCTGCCCCCACCACGCCCACTCCAGCCCAGCCCGTGAGCCTTTGTTCAGGTGGATTCTTCTACCCTTTGTTCAGGTGGATTCTTCTACCCGAAATGCCTCCCCTGCACGTCTTGGCATTCAAATGCTCCCTAGCCTTCAAGACAGAGCTCTAATCTCCTCTCGCCAGCACCTGGCCGAGGTCGGGCACAGACAGGCATTCGAGCAAGAAGTACCCTCTCTTTTCCCAGAAGCCTGACTCCCTCTACATTTTATCTCCACCTCCCTTTGGGCTCAGAGCTCTTCCTATCTTGGATTAGACTCGTGTAGCAGGTTGGAAAGAATTATTATCTTGACAGCTGGTGTCAGAATGCCTCTTAGGGGGAACCGCCTTTGTCCAGGAAAATACTTTCATGAACTGCTCGGGGTAGATAGAGGTGAGATCCTGAGGGCGGGGTTAGCAGCAGGCAAAACCACCAAAGCCAGAGCTAAGCTGCTCATCGCTCACCATGAAAGGGAGTTGGGGGGTCGGGGGGTGGGGAGAAGAGGAGCCAGGGGAGGGAGGTGAAGGGAGGCAGTGGGCAGCACGATACCACGGAGAAGCCGGCACGGTTTTAGAATCAGGGGATCTGATGTCTGATGTACAGCTTTTGTTTTGTTTTGTCTTGTTTTGTCTTGATGACAGCTTTATTGGAGGAATTAGTCATGTACCGCACAATTCCCCCACTGAATGGGTACAATTCTTGTTGTGTTTTGTTTATTGCTGCAGGGCAGCCCCTCTGGGGCCCCAGCCTTCACAGAAGCCTGCCTCTCGCTCCAGGGCCTCGTGGGGAAAGGAATGACATCCCGTGTGTGAGCCTGTATCATGGCAGAGGGAAAGCAGCAGAATGGGAAAGCGTTTAGCCATCCGAGCAAGAAGTGACCATGAGACTGAAACTCCTCCCCAAAAAATAGTCAAGAATCTTGGAGAGGGCACAGCATGTTTCTACAAGACGTGAGAGGTCTTGAGAGGCTGGGAGACTCCAGCTGGAGACATGGGTTAGAATTGCTCGTGAGCCCCTCCCCTACGGGCTCCCCCAGGACAGGCCTCCCCACCCCCAACTTATTCATGTCACTGAATAGGCCCCAGTCAGCGGATTCCAAGTTCGGTAACCATTTAGGTTGTAATTGAGCTGTTCTGCGGGCTCCCTTAAGTGCACAGAGGACCACCCCCTCCCCAGTCTGTCCCCCTGCCCCAGCCCCATGCCTGAGTTTGCTCTGCCCGGAGCCCTTTCCACATACACACATCACTTACCCTCCCCTGGGGTCTGCACTTCAATGGAGGGATTGAAGCTCTGAGTCTCCCAGGAGGGCCCCGGGGAAGCCGCCCGGATCTGAAAGACGTAGCGGGTAGCCGGCTTCAGGTTGGTGACAGTGACCGCGGGTGCCCCCGTCTTCACCGTGGAGTAAGTCTGCTCACTCTGACCCTGAGGAAGGACCAAGAAGTGAGGCCTGGACCCAGGGCCTGGAAGTCCAGAGGGTGAGCAGGGCCTGATGTCACAGAGGAAAGAAGAAGAAACTGAACCCCGACACCTGCCCGGCCCTTGCCGGCTCATAAAGATTTTCCTCCTCTTTGTCATCTGGTTTTCACAACGTCCTGCAAGGCACGGATTCACAGATAAGGAATCGGGGGCAGAGGGGTAGACAGACTTGCCTGAGGCCCCCACTAGACAGTGGGGACAGCAACAGTTGTCATGGAGTGAGGGTCAGCTTGCTGTCAGCTGCTATGCAGACTCTTTAGAGGCCTGACTACCTAAGTCCTCACAACAGTATTTCCATCTTTTAAAGGTGACAGTCACATGAAGGAAGGGGCAGGACGACACCTTCTTGATTCCTTCAGGTCCCGTGCTTTATCTCTATATCATGCTGCCCCCCAACATGTCTGAGAATGGGGTCTATTGGAGATGCCGCCATCATTCTGTCTCTGTCCCCACCCCCTGCCACCTTATTACAGCCCCTGCCACAACCACAGCCTCCCGATATCATGTGGCCCAGTTCTTTGACCATGGTATTCAGGAATGGGGCAGACGCTGACCCAAACCGGGCCAATCAGAATCTCCCTTCCAGGTATTTGAATGAGTCACTGAAAGACAGTGAGGCAAGGGCTGTGGCCCTTCTGAGCCGGGCAGGCTAGGGCCCGGGTGGAAGAAAGAGGCAAGGCTGTCAACCCAGGCAGCTGTGATATGCCCTGAGCAAAGCCCCTCTGCAGAGGACGCGGGACCGGCACCCAGAGAGCAGAGTGTAGATAAGGAGCACTGTGCCTCCCAGATTTGTGGTCACTGGGTTCCAGGCGACGCCCTTGAAGCCTTTCAAACAGAGCCCCTCTTGCACAGGACCCTCTTTTCAAGGCTTTTTGTTCCCAGCAAATGCACACCCCCTAAGGGCCTGGAGCATCTGCCAGCTCAGCTTCTGGACTCTACTGCACGGCCCAGCTCCTTCCCAGTGTCCTTCTCTGCCATCTCCCAAACGTCAGGGTTCCTCAGAGCCCTGTCCTGTCCCCTCTTCTCACCCTCCCTGTCCTCCTAGGCCATCTCTTCTGGCCCCTGGCTTCATTCAGCTCCTAGCCCCGTGCAGAAAGGGCCCCAACTCTCCGTCCAGCGCCAGGCCTCTCCCTTGAGCTGCAGACCTGCAAGCCCACCTAGATGTCCCAGAGGCCCCCTGAACACTGCATGGGCCAAATCAAACTCATCCTCTTACCTCGATTCTGCTCCCCCTTTTCAGTCCACGGCACCCCATCCCCTAGATGGCCCGGCCGTGACTCAGGAGTTCCTCCTCCTTTGTGTTCACCAACCCCCCCAACCCTAAACTCACAGCTCTCGGTAGACTTCTAGTATTCAAAAACTATTCTCTGACTCAGCCAAGAAGTCCCCTGAGTCACTCAGGAGTGAGTGAAGCTCTGACACATTAAGTGCTGAAGATGAGAGCAAGGTTTCGCTTGAAGGAATAAGATTTGCACCAAGGTGAGAAGCAGTTTAACAGCAGATTACGTATCACGTTTAAAGACAATACATTTGGGGCGCCTGGGTGGCTCAGTCGGTTAAGCGTCCAACTTCGGCTCAGGTCACGATCTCGCGGTCCGTGAGTTCGAGCCCCGCGTCGGGCTCTGGGCTGATGGCTCAGAGCCTGGAGCCTGCTTCCGATTCTGTGTCTCCCTCTCTCTCTGCCCCTCCCCCATTCATGCTCTGTCTCTCTCTGTCTCAAAAATAAATAAAAAACATTAAAAAAAATTTAAAAAAAAAATAAAGACAATACATTCAAGGAGGAAGGAGACAGTGGATCGGGATATATCTCCACTTGGCAAATCGAGGTTGAACTGCGACTATTGATTGACAACAGATACAAGAAGTTAGCAAAAATCAGCAAAAGCATCCTGTAAGAATCAATTGGCTATGCGGGGTTTACAATATGGAGAAGCTGTGTATCTTTCCTTATTCCTTGTAAACGACATATGACACATCTTTTCTATAGTAAAATTGTCAGGGTAACTCATACACTCATTGTTCCGGAGAGTGGAGCGCTAAACATTGACCAGCACATGGTCAAGCCCCAGCAGACCACCTGACCTACCAGTGTAGGTCAATTTGTAAATTTTGAAAGAGTATGGTACTTCAGCCTTCTTTTTCTTAAAAAGGGCTGCAAATTGCATATGGTCCGGCCACACAAGATGGGAATGAGTCCCTAGAGAAAGCTCTTAGTGAACTGCAAACACTAGGCAAAAGTGGTGACAACGGAGCTGATGACCAGTGAGGGGCAGGGAAGGGGACAGCCGACGAGCAGTGGGGTCCATGCACGGAGTCGAGGGGGGGGATAGGAAGAAACTCAGGCCTGCCAAAAGCCACTTAGGAGGCCGGTGGATGTGTTCACAAGGAAAGAAAGAAGGGCTTTTGCCTCCAGGAGGTTGTGAAGAAAAGGACCACAGCCCGGAATGCAGCCTCAGGTCCCGCCCAGACCTCACCTCACCTTCTCGTAGTATCGGATCTCGTACTCCGTGCCGTTAGCCCCGGGAGCTCCGGCAGGGATAGGCTCCCGCCACGACAGGGACACACTCTGGGGCTCCACTCGGTCCCTCCGGATCTCATCCTCCTCCCAGGGCGCTGAAAGTAAGGAACACTCGGTTCTCGATGGGAACCCACCGTGGGGCAGGGCGGGGGCTGGAAGGGCGGGGCATGCAGGGTGGGGGTGGGGCCAGACGGGCGGGGCGGGGCCAGAAGCTCCTGAGGGGCGGGGCCTGAGTTGTCTTCGGACCAGAGGGGAGCCCGCTCTCACCTTACAGGTCTCAGCTTCCCTGTCTCTTCGAGCGAAGCGCCAAGCCACCTGATTCTTGCCCACCCCCTGCATTCCAGCTGCACTAGTGGTGGCTGGTTCTAACACCCCAGGTTCTTTTCTACACTTTCTGTGGTTTGGAGGCATTAAAAAGCATAGGAGCAGGAAGACCACCTACTTAATTCTTCTAACGGTCTGGTTAAGAGTCAATCCGCTCGGCACACACTAGGAATCGCAGGAAACTACCTCAATATAATAAAGACCATATGTGAGAAAGCCCCAGCGAACATACTTAATGGTGGAAAACTGAAAGCTTTTCCTTGAAGATCAGGATCAAGGCAAGGACGTCCACTCTTAACACTTCTAATTAACATAGTACTGAAGTCCTAACCAGAGAGCTTAGGCAAGAGAAAGAAAGAAAAGGCATTCAGATTGGAAAGAAAGAAGTAAAATTATTTCAGTCCACAGGTGACATAGCCCTCTATGTAGAAAATCCTAAAACTTCCACAAGACCCTGTTAAAATTACTAAACGAATACAGCAAAGTTGCAGGATACACCGTCAACGTGCAAAATCAGTCCCATTTCTACATATTAACCACGAACAATCTGAACAGGAAATTAAGAAAACAATCCCATTTACAATTGCAGCAAAAAAGAATAAAATATTTAGGAATAAAGTTAACCAAAGGAGTGAAAGACTTGTACACCGAAAATCAGAAAACATCGCTGAAAGAAATTAAAGAAGATACAAATAAATGGAAAGACATCGTGTTTATGGAGTGGAAAACTTAATATTGTTAAAATGTCCAGGCTATCCAAAGCGACTTACAAATCCAATTCAATTTGCAACAAAATTGTTTTTTTGCAGAAATAGAAAAGAAATCCTAAAATTCATATGGAAAATCAAAGGACCATGAATAGCAACATGATCTTAAGAAAAACAAGGCTGGAGGCCTCACACTCTGACTTCAAAACACTGCAAAGCCACCATAATCCAAACAGTTTGGTACTGGTAAAAAGACAGAAATGTGGGCCAAGAATAGAGAGCCCAGAAATAAACCCTCACAGACATGATGAAATGATTTTCGATAGGGGTTCCAAGCCCACCCAATGGGGAAGGGACAGTCTTTGCACCCAACAGTGCTGGGAAAACTAACTGTCCACATGCGAACGAAAGAATGAGGTTGGAGCCTTACCTGATACCACATACAAAATTTAACATGAAATTAATTACAGACCTAAATGTAAGACCTGAAACCATAAACTCCCAGGAGGAAACATACAGGGAAGCTTCATGCCATTAGATTTGGCAATGATTTCTCAGATGTGACACCAAAAGCACAGGAAATGAAAGCAAACATAGACAAATGGGATCCCACCAAACTTAAAAACATCCGCACAGTAACGGGAACAATCACCAAAATGAAAGGCAACCTATGAAATGGAAAAAAAAAAAATTGTTAATCATATATCTGATAAGGCGTTAATATCCAGAATATATAAAGAACTCCTGCAATTCAACAACAACAACAAACCTACAAATAACCCAATTTAAAATGGGGAGGGAATTTGGATAGACATTTCTCCGAAGAAGACAGACCAATCACCGATAAGCACATGAAAAGATGTCTAAAATCACTAATCATCAGGAAAACAGCAGTCAAAACCACAACGAGATACCATCTCAGATCTGTGAGGATGGCTACTGTCAAAAACAAAACAGAACAGAAAATAACAAGTGTCGGATGTGGAGAAACTGGAATCCTGTGCATTGTTGGTGGGAATATAAATTGGTGCAGCCATTATGGAAAACAGCATGGAGGTTTTCCAAAAATTTAAGAATAGAACTACCCTATGATCCAACAATCCCACTGCTGAGTATACATCCCAAGAAAATTAAATCACTATCTGGAAGAGACATCTGCATTCTCATGTTCATTGCAACATTATTCACAATAGCCAAGATGTGGAAATAACTTAAGTGTCTGCTGATGGATGAATGAATAAAGAAAAGAAAATGATATCTATAAAGGGTTGTTATTCAGCCCATAAAAAAAGAAATTGTGCCATCAGCAAAAACATGGGTGAACCTTGAGGGCATTATGTTATGTGAAAGAAGAAAGACAAAGACAAATCCTGCATGATCTCACTTATATGTGGAATCTAAAAAACCTACATTCATAGAAACAGAGTAGATTGGTGGTTGCCAAGGGCTAGGAGCTCTAGAGATCTAATGTACAGCATGGTGACTATAGTCAACAGTACTGTATTGTAGGGGCACCTGGGTGGCTCAGTCCATTAAGCTTCTGACTCCCGATCTCGGCTCAGGTCATGATTTCACAGTTTGTGGGTTCGAGCCCCACATCGGGCTCTGTGCTGACAGTGCAGAGCCTGCTTGGGATTCTCTCTCTTCTTCTCTCTCTGTCCCTTCTCCGCTCACGCTCTCTCTCTCAAAGTAATTAAATAATAAAAATTAAAAAATAAATCTTAGGGGCGCCTGGGTGGCTCAGTCGGTTAAGCATCCGACTTCGGCTCAGGTCATGATCTCACAGTTCGTGGTTCAAGCCCCGCGTCGGGCTCTGTGCTGACAGCTCGGAGCCTGGGGCCTGCTTCAGATTCTTTGTCTCCCTCTCTCTCTGCCCCTCCCCTACTCATGCTCTGTCTCTCTCTGTCTCAAAAATAAATAAAAACATTTTTATTTATTTTTTTTAAATTTTTTTTCAACGTTTTTATTTATTTTTGGGACAGAGAGAGACAGAGCATGAATGGGGGAGGGGCAGAGAGAGAGGGAGACACAGAATCGGAAACGGGCTCCAGACTCCGAGCCATCAGCCCAGAGCCTGACGCGGGGCTCGAACTCACGGACTGCGAGATCGTGACCTGGCTGAAGTCGGACGCCCAACCGACTGCGCCACCCAGGCGCCCCTAAATAAAAACATTTTTAAAAAAATCTTTAAAAATAACAATATTGTATTGTATACGTGGAAATTGCTAAGAGACATCTTAAGTGTTCTCACGACACACACACACTTCCGAGAGAAGATGCTGGAAAGGCAGCTATATAGGTGGTTTCAGGACTCACAAAAGGTATCTGGAAATGAGATGGAGACCCAAGAGCCATCAGAAGGGGACTGGATGAAGCTTCCCAGGAGGAGGCACAGAAAGAGAGAAAGAAAAGCTTTTAGGAAACATACATTTAAGAGGCAGGTTGAGGAAGAGGAGCTTGAACACGAGGAGCCAGAGAGAGAGAGCAGGAAAGCCAGGAGCAAATGAGATCACAGAAGCCCAGGGAAGAGAACATTTAAGAAGGTTCCCTCCTGAGTCTTCTGGTTATTAGCTTCCAGTCCATGAGCAAGAGACTCAGTTTCCTCATGTGTAGAGTGGAAACAATTCTGACCTCATTAGGCTCGCTGTAAGAATTTTATAAAGTAATGTATATGAAGAGCTTAGCACAATATCTGACACAGAGCAAGCGCTCCATGCAAGTTTACTAACTAGAAGAGCCAGCGGTTGGCAGTATCATTTGCTGAGAAAGGACAGGGTGAGACTAGGATTCAAAGCGCCCTCTGGCTTTAACAATGTGGAGGCTCCCGGTGACTTTGGGAGATTGAGGGGAAGTAGATACCAGGTGGCTATGGGACAGGGCCCATGCAGCTCACTCTTTGAAAAGTGCATGAACATGGCTTCCGGTTTTAAATGGTAACCATCTAGCAGCCCCCACCTGCAGTCTCTTCCCAATTCTGATGAAAACAGAAAGGTACAGAAAGAGTTGAAAACTCAGAACATCAACGTAAGCTAGTCTAGACGGCTGAATGCCAGAATGGGGGAGATATGCCACTCCACCTATGAGAAAGCCGGTGGAACGGGACTGAAAAGTGCAATTGTCGTGAAGCCCCAGGCTATGCTGCCCACAGAGTGACACGGTCTCCCATCCTAAAAATAACCTGAAAGATTTTTTAATCCCTCCTCCCACTGTCTGACCCTTACAAAAAGGCAAGGTCTTTGTCAACAGGACAATGCACAGCCATCACTCTCCTGCATAGTTGCTTTGGAGGAAAAGTGTCCTTCCGTATCCCCCAGGAGTGCCTCTCGGCCTAAATCCACTGGGAGATGACAGCTGTCAGAAGAGACGTGGGTTCAAGGGGAGAGGAGAGAGAAAACGTCCCAGGATGGCACAGACCCTTGCAGATACAGATGGACAGCAGAGATAGGAAAAGGCCAGGAATGTCGTGTTTTGGAGCTACATTTGTTGAAAGCATTAGACGGCCATACAGAGGTAGGAGACGGTTCCATTTCAGACCCACAGAGATACGTTAGATGAAAGCCTAACAAATCCTGAGACCGGAGCTCAAAACCGAGCCCGATGCCCTCTCCTGCTGTAGGTGGATCTGTGATGAAATCCAGCCAGTGCCCACGGGGGACCGAGACCACAGCAGACATGAGTGGAAAACTATTCAACAGCCATGTCTCCCCTTCCTAGCCTGTGGAGCCCAACTTCTGATTCAGGGTCTACTGTCTCCCCCTGTGTGACTCAGGTTAATTCTGATTGTTCTAAGACAGCTGTGTGGACTCATTTCCTGTGCCAATGACTGCGGTCGGGCTTATCATCCAGTTCTGGCTGATGTAAGGAGAAAGCAGCTAAGGGGAGGACGGACTCTGGAAAAGGTTTCTTGTTCTTAAAATGATACCTACACGAAAGAAACAGTCCTTTTCTTCTGCTCTGGATGGTAAGGATGTGATGTCTGGAGCTACTGCATCCAACCTGCCACCATGAGGGAGCCAGCCTATGTGACAAGGAGCGGCATGGCACAGTAGAAAGACACAAAGAGG